CCCGATAGAAAATCATATATTTTGTTTATAATAGATTAGGTATCATAGGTAGGAATGAAGATCATATCCTAAGGACGGTGTTACATATGAATGTGGATGGTTATAAGGGTAGAGGAAGACCGAAAAAGAGATGGATGGACTGTGTGAAAGATGATATGGTGAGAAAGGGAGTAAATAACGGAATGACTACGAACAGAGATGAATGGAAGAGAAAAACATATTACGCCGACCCCAAATAAATGGGATAAGGAAGAAGCAGATGATGATGAATAGATTAGGTATCAGTTCAAAGTCAAGTGAGATGTGTATTTTTGTCAAATCTACGTGCGCCGGCATCCGTTGCAAAATACTAGTAGGGCTGTGTCGTCATTGAATAGTATAAACTACTAAGTCACTGGCTACTAAGGCAGTGGCTATTACTCATTAAACGATTACTTGAATGACGAGCGTGCATGGCAATAGTTGTTCATGTACTGGATTTTCATTTAATGTTAGACATTTAAAAAACAACAGGCAACAGGCTTTAAAAAAAAAAAGTAATTCAATTGAGTTTCTTGCCAGTTCTTCTCAATTGGATCTATATACCGAACTGGACGGTAGGGAAAAAATAAAATTATAATCTAAAAATTTGACATTCAAAAGCGGCTAAAATGTCCTACATGAATAAATGATTTTTGAATTTGAATTTGAATTATGTCATGCAGATGAAACCGCAGTCACAGCTTGTTATTTTATATTTTATATATGATCTTATTTTTTATACTGTCGGTAGATTTGATATATCATAAGAGTCTGTAATAGACCTATATGAATAAAGATATTTTGAATTTTGAATTCAATATTTTTTAATATAATTCTATTATTTTTGTAATCGATATTTTAATAATCGATTGTTTTCCCGTCCCTAGTTGCGATCAAATGTAATACAACTATTTTATATATGATCTTATTTTTTATACTGTCGGTAGATTTGACATATCATAAGAGTCTGTAATAGACCTATATGAATAAAGATATTTTGAATTGAATATTTTTTAATATAAGTCTATTATTTTTGTAATCGATATTTTAATAATCGATTGTTTTCCCGTCCCTAGTCGCGATCAAATTTAATACAACTCTAGAAGCAGAAAGGTGCCAAGGCGATTATGAATATTTCCATGTATTTTTGGATGTTCTCGACAAACTATTAGTTTATATTTAATAAATAATTCTGACATTTTAGTGCGTTCTGGTATAGTATCGCATGTATTACATATATATTCTTATAATATTGTTTTAGTCAACGTTATATGAGTATAAACGTCAAAGGATTTCCGCTACATAAAATGTTTGAAAAACATAAAACAGTTTATTTTGATAGTGTAACGGCCACCTATACTCATTATAATAATAAACGAAGCCAACATTTGAGATATGTTTTAAAAAATCGATAGTAACTTCTATATATATAAATAAAATTGGAGTGTCTGTTTGTAATATTGAAATAATTTAAATTCCAATGGTCGCGGGTTCGATTCCTCGCACGCTACAAACATTTCTATTCACGAGTATGATTGTTTGTATCAGTTTGGGCGCTATGTAAAATATGTATTTTCGAAAAAAAAATCTATATATTTGTATCAGTTATCTAGTATCCATAACATAAGCTTTAGCTAGCTTAACTTGGTCTAGATAACGCTGTGTGAATTGTCCTGAGATTATTATTATTATATTCTGTCAAAATTTCATCACAATTGCTACCGTCGGGGAGTTAACCACTATACCAGAACGCACTGAAATATATATATATACTAGCTGTCCCGGCAAACGTTGTTTTGCCTTAAAATAAAAAAAAAATTTAGGGGTGGACTACCCCTAACATTTAGGGGGATGAAAAAATAGATGTTGGCCGATTCTCAGACCTACTCCATACGCTCACAAAACTTCATGAGAATCGGTGAAGCCGTTTCGGAGGAGTATGGGAACGAAAACTGTGACACGAGAATTTTATATATAAGATATATATATATATATATATATATATATATATATATATATATGTATATTTTTAAAGAAGAATATGGTATGCTGCACCAATGGTATACGCTGGCGGGGCACCAGTGGAGGATAAGATGAGCATGAGGTCAGGTCAGTTAGACCATAGTGACAAATTTATCAAGAATTTAACACGATCCTTTTTGGAATTCTCTAATGCTGTCGGCAACAGCTGGCCTTTACAGCTTCACCGGACGATAGAGGGCGAGTGCAGATGGCACTCCAAACCAAAGGAAGGACTTATGGAGCGGCTGAAGGCCAACTCCTGCCTGACGGATACGACTTAATCTGAGGGCACCACTAGGGGTTTGAACCACGGGTCAGACCGTCGTAATTTCGATCCCAGTTTGTATTGGATGGGGGATCAATTCGAGGGCAGTTTCTCGTAGCTTCAGTGCCAACTCCCGTAAAACGTAATGTTAATGACTATGTTTCGACATGCTGTATCATTAAAATGGTTATGTTTATTGTAAACATTGTTACAAAGATACGAGCAGGGTTGCCAACAGTAAAATAATCAGATATAGATTATTAATATAGTTAAACGGGTCTTAACACGAAAATTTTTGTAGAAAAAATCTTTGTTTTGCCATTTAAATTAAAATCGCTATTAATTATTTTGTAGTTGGTGATAGAAGGGTGAAAATTTAGGGTTAAATGTATAAAATGTATTAATGCCACTTTATAAAAAAATTATTGTCCAAGAATAAAACTAAAATGTTAGGGGTAGACAGCCCTTATCACTTAGGGGTATCACTCAGACCCACTGAATATGCATTTAAGAATATGCTTATAAAATTTAGTAACTAACGTGACACGAGAACCTTCTGACACCACTCAACCTTCTGGAATTACTCTTAGATTTTGATAAACGCAACTTTTAAACTTAGATTTAATTATAGTAGATAGATAAATGCTTTATTCATCAAGTACAAACATATAGCATGCATGAGATATAGAAATATGTAATGGAGGAACATGTTTATTATGAAATTGTATATTACAATAAAACTTAATAGTGTAACATTATTTGTTAATTATAATTTATTTTGTATAAAACATACATATATTTAAAATAGATATTTATTCGATTAATATAATCTGTAATGTTAAAATCTTACCTTCTAAAGCTGTACGTCAATTTGACATACATCTTTAGAGGTCAATGTCATTCAAATCGTCAGATGTCAAAGTCATTCTTTTAAATAAAACTTTATGATCAAAACGGGAAAATAACAGGATGGTCAAAAATTTTGTCGGTTGAGATATGAACGAAGTGAGGAATATAGACAAACAAATAAAGACAAAGCAATTTATATTATTTATTATTAAACAGCTGTTTTAATAGGAACACTCATCGCCTTACTATATCGTCCGTTAGTCGCGAACATTCTGGAAGCGCGAGACACGCGCTCCTATTGGTCGGTCGACGCGCATGCGTTGTACGTTTAGATGAGTCTCACGGCGTAGGTACTTACTATACATACGTAATAGTTATACATTTCGGTGTTACAAATTAAAAAATGGAGAATGCTTTGTCGCAAAGTGAAGAGGCAACCAACTAGTACAATACAACTGTGTCGTGTGGCAGTAATTTAATAAAGTTTTAAGGTTGGCAACCCTGGATGCGTGTTTGCAGGTCTTTGATAATTGTAGTATGTATATCAGACCAGGTGTTTCGTCCAAACATCAAAAAGCTTTTAACCAGTCGAGTGTGAACAGTAAACGTCCGGTTTATTATTGTACTGTATTTCACTTGTCGAGTACGCAGACTTGTTTGTTTTTAAATTGGCGCGCAAAAACACAGAGTAGGTAAAGTGTGGAAGTTTTTGACAGCGCGGTTTTATTTGCATAATTCTATAAACGACTGAACTCTTTGGTCATCTGCACCGCCTTGGGGAGGTGAAGGTTGGGGCCTCGCGAACACATTTGGTTCGCCATCTACTCCGGGGGCAACAACCTCCGACTGGCTCAGAACCCCTTGGGCGAGTATACATTAAAAAAAAAAGAAAAAACTATTTAACTCATACTTGGGAACAGTTTTTTTTTATAAACGACTCCAATTTTTTTTAAATAAAAGTTAGTTTATTTAAATTCCTCGTAATACAATTTACATGCATTATCATCATAGCAAATTACACATCAAAATATCTTAATTAGGTTTATTACAGACTCTTATGATATGTATGTTGAAAGCTATCGTCATTTCGGAGTGCTTTCGAGCTAAGAAAACCTGAGAAGAAACTCAGCTCTTATTCTTTTCAGATGAGCTTGTATATGATTACAATAATACAAATTCATTTTTAAATTCTATTTAGGGAGAATAGAATGACCACCAGTATATCTTATTTCAATTTTGTCAAAAGAAAATAGTCTAATCAGTGCTCTTAACCAGAACAGACCAGTCCTAACTATCGTGTACCTATTTAGAATCTTTTTAACGATTAACATGTCATTAGAACTAAAGCACAATAAACAGATTCTAAAAAATACTTGATTTTTTTAATGTTTTCCGGCGTCTCTAGTGCTGTTGGCCGCAGCTGGTCTTTACAGCTTCACCAGCCGATAGGGGGCGAGGAGAGATGACACTCCAAACCAAAGGAAGGACTTATGGAGCGGCTGAAGGCCAACTCCCGCCTGACGGATATGACTTAAGTCTGAAGGCTTCGGTATGGGCTCGAAATTCGTCGCTCAGGCCGTCGTAATTTCGAGGAGAACCGCTAGGAGTTTGAACCTCGTCGTAATTTCGATCCCCGTTTAATTTAGATCAGAGGAGTATGACGGGGAATCGCTCGGAAGTGGATATCTTTTATACCTTTAATGATAGCTTCTTTACCTTTAATATAACACCCACAAGCAGCAAATTGTACTTTTCTTGGAATGTGTCTGCTAATCCCATTATTAACTATCACTTTCTCCCAATTTAGATAATTTATTACCTCGGTTTCTGTCTTATTTCACAGACGAATGAAGGAGGTGGTCCTGCGTTTATTTTCGCCGAAGAACTGAAGCAGATACTGGATAGATACTTGTTTGGGATCTGCCCGCAGACTTTTAAGGTAATTAAAAGCTAGTTTCTAAATGGCTGATAAATGAGCCTTATAACGAAACTGAAGAACTCAATGTGTATATGATAATATTTATTTATCTTTATATAAATAATAAAATATTAAATATGTCTAAGTTTAGTGTAAAATTAATTAGTGCAGGTCAACAATATATATTATTAGGTTTTACCTGCGGCTTGGCTCGCATTGAATCCATTAAATAACTTCATTACTGGCCGCTACATGGCACTGAATTAACAAAGTGTTGATATTTATCTGTTTTTTTTATAAAAATATTTGTTGTTTTTTAAATAATTGTATCCTATATTCATTCTAGTACCTCCAAGAACGTGTGTACAAAATTTCATGATGATCGGTTCAGTAGTTTTTGCGTGAAAGCGTAACAAACATATCGACTTCCACATTTATAATGTTAGTAAGGATGTTATGTTATTTTGTCATATAGTCGCGATGGTTCCAGATGCCGTTGGGTGGAAAGAACAAGAATTCCACCACCTTCACCTGCGACCTGGACCCTGAACAGCAGGAGTTAGCCGGCAGGTAAATTTATATTTATCATATTAACTGGTCGGGCCTCAAAAGGATTACTTCCACGAAACGAAAGAGCAACACACAAGTTTCTTGCTTATTCTTCTTGTGATGAGACAGCTTTCCGAATAAGCGGTAGATTTAAAAAAAATGTAGACTATTCAAAAGTGCTTAAATTAAGTTTATTTGAATCAATGATTTTCTATTCTATTCTATTCCGTTTATAATCTGGAACCCGACCAGGGGGGGTTAAAAAGAAGATAGCTATTCTATTTTGTTATCTCTAGTATATGTAATTGGTTTGTATTTATTAGTTGTAATTTTGTTTTAATTATTATCATTAATATTTTAAATAGTGCTCTCTCTCTCCCCCCCCTTTTATATATATATTTTTGGTGCCACTGAAAACCAGCTGTATGTTCATCTAGGACATACATTAAAGCTGAGTGGAACCATTTCAGTGCATTATTGGATGTAAAAATGTTTATTTTATGTTTATTTTTTAATTATGGTAAATTAAGTTTATTTATATGTACATTTTATTTGCTCTTTTTTTTCCGTTTGTTGTTTATATTGTATTTTTTACATTGCACTGAATAAAATATTTTTCTTTCTTTCTTTCTTAGCTCAGTTTTGAAAGATGCGGTTAAGTAGGGATGCCTACAATGGCTAGTTTGCATAAGGTAAAAATTCAAAAAAATTCTAAATTCTAAATATATTTATTCATGTAGGTATATTACAGACTCTTATGATATATCAAATCTACCGTCAGTTCAGAATGATTTCGAGATGAGAAGAACTGACAAGAAACTCAGCTCGTATTTTTTTTTTAAATGTTGTACATATTTACAGTAATATAATTTCATTTAAATTCACATTTGGGAGTATAGAGTGACCATCAGCATATGCTATTGAAAAAAAAACAAAAAAATCTAATCAGTGATCGCAACCTGAATAATAATAACAATAATAATAACCAAATAAGGAAAGACTCACAGTTGATGGCGGAGGCGATCTCTTGAAGGCTCTCAGAAGATTGTCTTCCAAAACTTGACTACACTTGTCACTGCCTAATTCAAATTCAAATTCAAAAATCATTTATTCATGTAGGACATTTTAGCCGCTTATGAACGTCAAATTTATACATTCTAAATTTATTTTTTTCCCTACCGTCCAGTTCGGTATATAGATCCAATTGAGAAGAACTGGCAAGAAACTCAATTGAATTACTTTTTTTTTAAAGCCAGTTTATTTACAATGTATATTTATATAAGTGTCTATGTCTAACATTAAATGAAAATTCAGTGCATGAACAACTATTGCCATGCACGCTCGTCATTCAAGTAATCGTTTAGTGAGTAATACATAGGCTTTGCTCAGTAAATATGATTTAACAGATGTTTTGAATTTATTTAAGGGAAATTCCAACATATCCTTTGGTATCTTATTGTAAATTTTTATACCTATTCCCATAAAAGACTTATTAACTTTTTCTAAACAATACTTGGGGACCTAAACGAGCCTAAAGGCTAGCGCTGGGCTAGCTGGCTGAGGCGATCTCTTGAAGGCTCTCCGAGATTGTCTTCCAAAACTTGACTACACTTGTTACTGCCTAAAGGCTAGCCTTTAAGCAGTGAGAAGTATAGTCAAGCTGTACTAAACTAATTGCTAATAGCAGTTTATTATTAGCAATTTAATTTAGTACAGTATCAGTTGAATTGAACACTGCCGCCATTACCGCATCTCGACGCAAAAGAAATTTTGTTGCGTGTTGCATATTGTTGCGCCTGTGACGTGTAGAGCCGGTGTGAGTCGATGCGGGATCAAAGTTTCTTATATCGGCACATAGATGGCACCGCTAGTTAGCACATTAACAGTTATTTTAAAGAGGAACACCAATTTCATTGCTTAATCTTCTTGTGATAAATCTGCATTCCTAATGAGTGGTAGAACAGAAAATGTGAGTATTCAAAAGTGCTTGTATGTATTAAGTTTCTTTGAAATAAGATTATTTCTATATCTATTCTATTAATAACAATCTTAAGTTGTAATGTATGTTGGACCCTACATCCACATTTAGTCTCTTGTTTGAGCAGTTGTATGTGCATATCTGTTCTCGTCCTCTGGACGTCATCTCGACCGACGATCACCTTGCTGGAGGTTCCCACGCTGCGCATTCCGGTCCGCGGTCGCCACTCGAAGACTTTATAATATTACATTCACTAGATATTATTATCATCAAGATTTCGAAGTAAATTATAAAACAGTAATAAATTCAATATTGGCGTTTAGATACTTGGAGTAGTGCCAAATAAATTTGTCGTCTAAATTTGTAATTGCATGACAGACACCTCAAAGCAACACGCAAGTTTCTCGCTCGTTCTTCTTGTGATGAGTCTGCGTCCGAATGAGTGGTGGAATAAAAATATATGGCTATTCAGAAGTGCTTATTAAGTTTATTATGAATAAAGATTATTTTTATTTCTAACCACATTTACAGGAAATCATTTGATTGTTTGTTTGTAAATTTCAGTGCCTATATGTATGTAAAATGTTTTTTTTTTCATTTCTTTTATGTTTTTTTTTTATTCGAGAAATCATTTTTATAAGATGTCGAGTGTATTTTGAGTAATCTATAATATAAGAAAGAAAGGAGAATTTTTTATTCTGTACTTTTACAATATGAATAAAAAACAATAAAAAAAATAACATAAAAGAAATGAAAAAAAAAAACATTTTACATACATATAAGCACTGAAATTTACAAACAAACAATCAAATGATTTCCTGTAAATGTGTGTACAGTCACAATTTCACATCCTAATCTGCACCCTACAACCGAAACAGCTTACAAAGCAAGCTGCTTGGCGGCTCAAATAGCTGAGACTGAGGTACACACGCAGACGAGTTTTTACAATTGCATATTTTGAGTTAGTTTTTTATTTTTATTAGGACTTTTGGACTATTGTCAGGTGCCAAGACCTGTAGCACTGCGACCTACATAGATCTATTGTACTTGCCCTTTTTCAAAGTTCACTACCTAGACCCGTCAGGGACAAGAATTGAAGGATACTCTTAGGAGCGATGGTTTTTATCTCCTCAGGACAGAGTGTATACTTTCCAAAGATATTTCGTTAATGCATGAGTGGGTTACAACCGTATAGGTGTAGTAGGTGAGACTGAGGTAGACGAGTTTTTACAGTCTATACTCGGTATTTCGAACTTTTAGTTACAATTCAATTTCAATGTAAATACTAATAGTCGTTTTTACAATTACAGACTGGCAACACTGGCCCTTCGTGCGCATTCAGCATCAAGGACTGATTGTGCTAGATTCGGGGCCACGCTCGCCAACACGCTCGGCGAACTTGCTCGCACAGCATCCAACAGAGCTGCTCTTACTGCCGGTATGATACAATAGTTTTGTTTGTTTGTTTTTATTTAAGAGTAGCTGTACCTGGGACTTCCGCGTGGATTATGTCTTTATTTTTCTAAAACAAAGGTAGCCTAAGTTACTCATTACATCAGCTACTTGCCAATAAAAGTCCCGCCATTTCAGAGATTAGCCGGAACAAATAGACAGATAGACAAAAATTGTAAGAAATGTTATTTTGGTGTATGTATGTGTTTTTTATGATCTGGTCAAGATCGCTGGAAGGCATTGGATACGAGGAGCGCAGGACGGATCGTCTTGGAGATCTTTAGGGGAGGCCCATGTCCAGCAGTGGACGTCTTCCAGGCTGCGATGATGATGATGATGATGTGTTTCTTTCCAGCCGCAACAAACGAAGCCAATAAGAAACGGAAGTTGTCTAAAAGCCAAAAAGCCAAGATCCAAGCCAAGCAGCGGACCGCGCTGGCGGTCAAGAAGAAAGCCGCCGCGGCCGCAGCAGCAGCCGCCGCCAAGGTGGCCTCTTGAATGGAAATTGAATAAATACAAATTTAGAATACAAAATTGTGATTATCATTTTTACAATACATATCTCTGAGCTATAGAAATGGAATAATTCAAATTTAGAATACGAAATTGTGATTATCATTTTAATAATACATATCTCTGAGCTATAGAAATGGAATAATTCAAATTTAGAATACGAAATTGTGATTATCATTTTTACAATACATATCGCAGACCTAGTAGAATATTGGTTTAATATATAAAACTCTCGTGTCACACAACCGATGCGATATTGAAACCTTCAAGAAAAGAGCTATTCCTTTTTATAAGGCCTACAACGTACTTGCAATTTTTACCCTTCTGTCACCAACCCTTATTTTTTTATAGCGTTATTAATTTATATGACACAACAACATTTGCCGGGACAGCTAGGTAGTATAAAATATATTTTGTTTCGAAATTAGATTTATCAAGTTGAAAATCGTTTGACATGATGCCCACGGCTACCTTTTACCATCGCACCGCACCGCACCGGTATGGTGTGTATTTATATTCATATGCATGTAGTAAAAAACGGTTATTTCAATATTACAAACAAACACTCCAATTTTATTTATATGTATAGATTATGACCATGACGTTCTAATATAATCAATAATTAAATTAGGATAAATATTTAACTGGAATCTTACTAAAATGATAAACGCGAGAGTGTGGATGGATGTTTGTTACTCTTTCACGCAAAAACTACTGAATGGAATATTATATGAACTTTACAGTAATATAGCTTATACATCAGAATAACACAGGCTATAAATTAAAAAGATATTATGTAAATTGGGCGAATTTGATTGAATTTTCCATTTTCTCTAATCATCCACCAATGGTGCCTCGCCAGCATAAGCTGTTAGCGCAGACGTGTGCACCATTCCATTATCATCCATAAGGAAAAATGTTTGTATTTTTTGAGATATTTAGTATTGTACTATATGTGCGATTATAGGTAGTATTGTAAAATCGTGAAAAGTGTCTGTTTGTGTGGACTAGAGGAATTATGATAAAATATTAATTCTGTGGATGTCTTGTGAAATGTGTTTAAACATGTTGAAAAATCTTAGAAAAATGCCTTACTGCATACAATGCTGAATAAATATATATTTGCTTTTTAAGTTTAAAACTAAGTAACAATTTTGTATTTATTATAATGTTTTTTAACAATAAACTATAAATACAATAATAATGATTTTCTATTACGAACTGCTTTTGTTTAGAAGTATTCCAATACTGTGCACAGCTGGTCCACAGGTGGCGAGAGCAGATGGCACTCCAAAACAAAGGTAGGACTTATGGAGCGGCTGAAGACCAACTCCCTTCTGATGGATATAACTTTAATCTGAGGGCACCGACAGGGGATCGAATCTCGGCAGCGCCCTTGGCCTAGGCATATAAATGGCCGTGGAGGCTTGTGCGTATACCCAGAGGGCAAAATAGGTCGCTCTAACGAGATGACGCCTGACCTACACCATCTACAGGGGGGGAAGGTGATTGGTAGTAATGTGGATTCATAACCTCATTACTAGCAATGTACCATGTCCATGTCAGGTCGACCTCCACGCGGTTCCTCCTGGAAACCATCTTAATAAATTTTGGTGAATTTATCACGATGGGCTAACTGACCTGACCTCATTCTCATCTTATCACCCTCCACTGGTGCCCCACCAGCGTAAACCGTTAGCGCAGGCGGGTGCACCATTTCATAATCACCGATAAAAAAAAAAAAAACATCTACAGGGCGACAAACACCAGAGGAGTCCTGGTAGAATGCTACCACCTGATTCCGAGAAGGACGATAGGATAAGCATGTAGTCAGTTCAGTAGAATAGAATAGAAAATCATATATCCAAATAGTCCTTTAATATAAGTTATATTGAAACACTTTTGAACAGTCGGTAGAGTAGGTTGAGTGGTAGATTGAAAAAAATGTGACTTTTTCAATCTACCGCTCATTCGGAAAGCTGTCTCATCACAAGAACGAGCAAGAAACTTGGTTGTTGCTCTTTTAAATAATTTTATTGTTATTTTACATTCTTAAATTGAAGTGTGTGAATACAAACTAGCACTAATTCAGTTGGCACATCGTGGGGAAAATTCATCAGGAATTAAAAACGATAGGGACTGAGACGAGGTCGATCCTATTTTGAAAATTAACACTAACAATTACATTGCAATAGATAAATAAAAAAAAACATATTGGTACAAAATGCGTTTATTTACAAAATACTTGTACAAAAATTATTTATTGTGTATAAAATATTTATTTAAAATTACAGAGTATTACAAATGTCTTCGATGGGTACACGCTAAAATATTACAGAATACTGCAAAACTTGGTCGACAAATATTACAATACCTACATCGCACTACAAACTTTTTCAGAAACATACCATATTCATAAATTACTACGTGAAAACTAGAGGGGAATAGGATGCTCTTGGGGTATAACTCTTAATTGCGTACAGAGAACAAATACATGGATAAAAACTTAGTTGGAAAATACTACATATGGTCACCGAGGGGCAGAGGGGGGAGGAGGAGAGGGGCAGGGGGAGAGGGTTTTTTATGGAATGGTGCACCCGCCTGGGCTAACGGTATACGCGGGGCACCAGTGGAACATGATAAGATGAGCATGAGATCAGGTCAGTTAGACCATCGACCATCATGATAAATTCACCAAGAATTTATCACGATGGTTTCCAGGAGAAACCGCGTGGATGTCATATTGCTAGCAATGGCTTCATTAATCCACATTACTAACAATGACCTTCCCTGAAGAGGGGGAAGTTGGAGAGGTCAGTTGGGGGACGGGTGAGCGGGGGTAAAGTTAGGAGATGGGGAAAGCTATGGAAGAGAGAGTATGATATAGATAGGGATGGAGGATAGAGGGCAGAAGAGAGGCGAGGAGGGAGAAAGGAGGTAAAATTTGGGTCACGTAGTCTGCACATTCCGTAAAGAACAGGCCTATCTGATGGTAATTATAGTAAAAAACATGTACAACGTCAAAGGCACAATATAGGCACAGACGCTAACATGTGCAGGCACTTTATATATACAATTACACTATTCATCTAATGACAAACAGACTTACCACCTTAGTAAGGTGTTACATTATCAAATATACATATATATAATCACAGCTATAATAGACAATTGGGGTCTACGTATAAAAACACGAATTTTTGATTACCCCGGCGTTCTCACAGATGATCACACTTGTGCTCACAGCGTCACACACTCCCCTCCTAGAGTGACGGTCATATATTTTGCAAATATCTTGTTTTTAATTGTGTTCACAAATATTCAAAAAACCGTCGTTCCGACAGAGGGGTAACGAAGGGGTGTTTGGGATTCCTACCCACTAAAAATAACCTAGAAATTATTAGGGTATAATGAATTTTGAAATGTGACGTAAAAAAATATAGGTCCCTTTCCGTCCCTTGTCACATTTTCTCCACCCACGGACACTACACATTAACTGGGAGGGCCCAGTTAATGTGTAAAATAATTCATGAATGACAATTCACACAGCGCCATCTAGACATGGGGTCGTTCTAGTATTACGTAAGCACCACTGGGGTCTTGGGGGTCTTGGGGTCTTGGGGAACTGGGGACTTTGCTTGTTTTGGATGACATGGGGGTAGGGGAGTTTAGATGGTGATTATGTCATCGGCAGTTATTTACTTTTTTATTAAAAAAAACTATTTAAATATTTACGTAATCATGGGGGTAAGAACATTGCTTAATTTGCTGACAAGGGGATGGGGGTAAATAATTGTAATAAATCTGATAATACTTGAACAGCCCCCAACTTGGTTGGGTCTGAATGTGACCAATCGTGACAAAGAAGGGGGCTCAAAGATTATGAAATTCGTGTAACGTGGATGACCCCCTTAATATACATTTGATAATGTAATACATATATTATAACTTATTTATTAATTAATACTGTCATTTGTATTGCTGGTAACACCAACGGATTGTAATAAAATATGCTTAAAAAAATCTTGTTTTTTATATACCCTTGGTTTAAATACAGTAATTAAAAATCATACTGGAGATTTTTGTAACGTACGGATATAATGACTTGCATAGATTCCAAACTGAAGAGGAAACGCCACTAAACATCTTATGTGGTTGTAGCCCACTCATGCATAAACGAAATATCTCCTTGGAAAGTTTACACTCTATTCTGAGGAGATAAAACTATCGCTCCTAAGAATATCCTTAAATTTTTATCTCTGACGAGTCTAGGTAGCGAACTCTGAAAAGGGCGAACACAATAGATCTATGCAGGTCGCAGTGTTCCAGGTCTTAGCACCTGACAATAACCCAACCTTCCCCCCCTGAAAAAAAGAGGCATAATTAGTACATAAATGTATACAATTTTCTCCGTACGATAGAAAAGTCCTCCAGTACAATAATATTGTTTGTTCACCTGTAAGTATAGTATTCCAACCTAATTATAATCACAAACATAGATATAAATTGTCTTTTTTTTACCGTTACACCGTTAATCTTCATAGACTGAAGGTGTACGCCCTTTTTAGCTTTTATTTGGTCTATTTATTCTTTCTTTCCTCACTTTGCTTGCTTCGCGAAGATATGGAAAGGAATTGTTAATAATGAGGAATTACAACCTCAATGCTAGCAATGTACCATGTCAGGCTGACCGCCACGCAGTTTCCCCTGGAAACCATCATGATAAATTCCTGGTAAATTTAACAGGATGGGCACCTGACCTCATGCTCATCTTATCATCCTCCACTGGTGCCCCGCCAGCGTAAACTGTTGGCGCAAATGTTAATACAAAAACTTAACATTCATAAGCGGCTAAAATGTCCTATATGAATGATTTTTGTTTTGATTTGATTTGATACAAATATATGTACTCACATCATCAATTTATATCTATGTATATGTAACAATCTAACGTGATGTCTAATTATTATGTACAATTTATATAAAGAAAATATTTTATTATTAAAACTTAATTACTGTTTAATTAAATTATATTTATGATTTTATATTAATTGCCAAATCACATATACATTATATTAGATGTGAAATTAAGATGTATTATTTTATTACTTCAATAAATAGGAATAAGGATATTGTAATTTAATTAAATTAATTTAATAGTAAAAAATATTAAAAACAAGCTTTTCTTGTACGCCATATTGGATTAAAGAGATGTCTTTTTATTATTTGCATTCTTGTTAACAAATACTTCCATACTTATCATGTACAACTACCAAATATGTATATTCCACACTTTGATGGACGTCCGACATATTGGATTAAAAATGGTATCACATAACTATGCTTTGTAAAATATTAATTTTACATAAATTATTGTAACGTATTTTATGAATACCCAATAAGACAGAGGAAACGCCACTACACATTCTATGTGGTTGTAGCCCACTCATGCATAAATGAAATATCTCCTTTAGGAAGTATACACTATATCCTGAGGAGACAAAATCATCGCTCCTAAGAATATCCTTCAATTCTTGTCCCTGACGAGTCTAGGTAGAGAACTCTGAAAAGGGCGAGCATAATAGATCTATGCAGGACTTGACAATAGCCCAAATCGCCCTATAATAAAAAAGGCTCATGTCGGACGGTCCATAGCCAAACTACGTCGTCGGAATAAACCGTCCGATTTTTATCGGAAATGTGTATTCACTTTAATGAACAAACGATTTTACATTAAATTTCTTTTTCTATACGTTTTCAAATATACTTACATGTTATATTATTATGTCTTACATTATTAACTTGTATTTTTAATAAATGCATTAAAAATTCGTATCAAAATCTAGTGTATATTGCTTTGTATATATTCCTGTTTTATTAATTACATTAATACAATTAATGGTAAAGTGATGTATCTCAAAATATTGACATTTTAATTTTTAAATTAATTTATATTTTTTGAACTAATCTATATATTCACAAATAGTGTATTTTATGGTACTATGTTTTCTACATACAGCCTATGTCTATTTGAAATAATGTGCCTAGAAATTCTCTCAGACAGTGAGAGAGTTTCAAAGTGGTACCTCATAACCTCTCATTTGCGAAGGAGCTAATTATTGGAGTTGAACACTATAGCCGTAAGTATCTATATATACATATATAAGTGAAGACCACATTGAAAATCCTTATTTCTCACATAGGGACCGGCATTTTGTTTTTAAATACATATATTATATTTTAAATACGTTTTTAGTGTACAATAATTTGAGGTAGACTTTATTTAACCCCTACATTTATTTCATTTAAACTGCCCACGGGTGATCTCCCGGTACCAATGTGTAAATTTACTTTCGTTGCGGAGTGTCCCACCGGTGGGCATGCGATCTTTAACATGTTCAATAGCTAGACTAGCGAGGTTGTCGCTTTATATTGTTATAAAAATACATAGCTTTGTTTTACTTTATTTTTGTCATCAAAAATGGCGGCTACAATACACTACGCGCAGACAATGTCGCGGGCTACCACTAGTATACAATAAATACACCTTAGCTGCTTCAATACACTGTTACACTCCATAATCTAAAATATATACAATATAGCTGCTTTATTCAGCCCTAAACAGGCTACAGTCTTATTAGATACGTTAAAAATATTACTTACATTAAAAATACTGGCCGGGTTCATTTATAAAATTGGACCTTAACGTCTATTGTACAAAAATAATCGTCCAAAATATCATATAATGTCCATAATGTGACATAATGTCCATAATGTAATATAATGTCCATAATATGATATAATGTCCATAAATAAATGTTATTATTCCACAAATGATTATTTAAATGACAATAATGTATTTATATTGTATTGTAATAATAATTACAAGTTTTATTTAGACTCAGTACCATATTGTAATTGTCAGACTAATAATGTGATTTAAAATATTACTGTAATTTTTTGCACGCTGGAAACGACGGGGTGTTTTTGGAATAACTATAGTTTTAAGAGCATTATGTAGACTTCTTCCCGTATAAATTAAATTGAAAAATTGAATATAATCTCCATAATGTAACATAATGTCCATAATGCAACATAATGTCCATAATGTAATATAATGTCCATAATGTAACATAATGTCCATAATGTAACATAATGTAACATAATGTCCATAATGCAACATAATGTCCATAATGTAATATAATGTCCATAATGTAACGGTCAATCTCGCCATGTTCTACTGTATCGTTACAAAGTTATCTAATACGTTATTATGGCCTCAAATAATGCAATTCCAAAGACACTCACACTTAGTGTTGTACCATGATTTTTTTAAGTTACATAATAAAGTTTGGAAATTTTATTTATTAATTCAAAATATACAATTTATTTGTATTAAGTATTTTTTTATGAGGTATATATGAGGCACAGGTATACTATTATTATATGAAATATATAGGTAGCTAACAATTTAGACATAACCAGTATACAATTATTATGGGGTTTACACTATCATATATATATATAATCATATCGGTAATCTGTATCGGCTTCAAAACACAATTGTTTTTAAAATTCTCAAAATGCTAAATAGTAGTTCGAAGTGTCCTATATAATTAAATGTTTTTGACTTTAAAATAAATTGATTGGTATAGATATTATTTTATATATATGATAGTGTAACATACCCTTATGTTGAATGAAGATAATCATAATTCCACTATTAAAAAATCTATTTCAAGAAATGAACTGTTCTGTCTTTTTCTTATACAGTAATTTCTTCATTTGATAGAAAGAGACAAAGTACTGTGATGTATAAAGTTTATATAAAGTATTTTTAATTTGAGCATAATTCAATCATTTATTTATTATAAAACATGTATATACCGAGCTTATTCTAATATTATACTTAATTAAAATTGCCAGTGTAAAATATTTAAAAAATACTATAATTACATCAGCCGGTCGCCACCGTTGGCTTTAAATATGATTTATATAAAAACTACTATACATTCATAAAGTTGCCAGAGTGACATTATAAAAAACTACTAAAATTCTCGCCAGCTGCCAAAATACTGTAGGAATTTATCTATTACGTAAGATATTATATTGCATTTGGTTTATGTATGGATAAACACAGTCTTACATTTAATACTAAGATGGGGACGTAATTTACGACTCACATTTAAGGTAGGATCATAAACGAAATATCTCCTTTGGAAAGTTTACACTCTTTCATAATCTTCAATTCTTGTCCCTGACGGGTCTAAGTAGCGAACTCTGAAAGAGGGCGAGCACAATAGATCTTTGTAGGTCGCAGTGCTACAGGTCTTGGCACCTGACAACAGCCCGAAAAGGGTAGGAGGTAAAAAAGGATAGGAGAGGGTGGAATCGATGTAGTGTGATTTTTATAATAATAATAATAATATCTCAGGACAATTCACACAATGCCATATAGTCCCAAGCTAAGCAGCATTGTGTTGAAGGTTATAGACAACTGGTATAGATACATAGATATTTTTTCCACCCAGATGGATACAAACAATCATATACATGTATAACGGCTAGGAATGGAACCTGCGATCATCGACGTGTCGTCAAATATGAAATAGGTATAGGAAACTGTTTGTATATAGGAAGGGAGAATGTCACAGATGTGACCTACTGTGACAAGGATGATGGTTTGGAATTTAAAATAATGAACGACGTAAATTATGGATAACCCCAAAGCTACTTTACGCCGTTAAACTTAAAACACATAATTGTCTGCATGATTTTCATGTAATTAAAATTATTTATAACCCGTATATTATGTATGTAATCTTAAACTAAACGCTAACTTTGGCGGGAGAATTGAATACTATAGTTTTATTTAGTTCTCAAAATGAACTAGTTCAAGAAGAGCGCTTCGAAAGATGAAGAACATAGTTCGCAGATCTTTCACTTTATAGTTCGTTCAATAAAATGTTATATATATTATAGAAGCTAAGTATTAAAAAATATATACACTCTCACAGGCGTTACGTCCACGCCCAAGGGTCCCCCCTTGTGAAGAAGTGAGAAGGCAAGGAGCGAGCAGTAATCTCCATCACCGCTTAAAAATACTACACATTTGTGGACTAAAAAAAGAAGTTTAATTACAGGCGCGTACCTCATGGGGATGTAGACCCAATAACGGCCAATTTTTACTAATAATAAAGGTCGTAACGCTTCCAGTAGCGGTGGTCAGGTTTCCACACTGAATATTTGTGGTCTCACACATGACAATGGTAATATAAGTATTAAACTTAACTTCGGTCAGAAACTGTTTAATGGTCTAGATTAGTGATCAGTGATTCCCAAAGTGATCTATATCGAACTGCAAGGGTTCTACTACAGCGGTCATCTTGTTGTTTTTACTTTATTTTTTTAACACTAAACTTTACTAGTTAGAAATTTACAAAAAATCAATACCAGGTAAGAATGGGGGGTCTACCCAAAACCGAAGAACATGCCAAAGGGTCTACGACACTAAAAAGTTTGGGAACCTCTGGTCTAGACATAGCCAATACTGCCTTTATCGCGAGTCGCGAGCGAGCGAACTATATCGCAAAAGAACTGCGAACTAAATAAAACATTCCGCGGCGCAAACTAACATTCTTAAGAATATATACATTAACATCTTACGTAATAAACTTACCAAAACATTGGTGTTGCCAGCGTAGTAAAAAAACTACTAAAATGGTAGGATTTATTAACTATTAGGCATGTTTTCTCCCCACGTACAGTACCAACTGTAGTTGTACATAGCTGCGTATGGATGTTTTCTTTTCTTGTGTAGACGAAGAGATTCCTCGGAGGCGTACCAGTATTGTGGAAACTTGTCGAATGGATACTTCTCTGATTCTTTCACGTATGGTTCTGACAGGTCCTCTGTAAATAAAAATAATAATAATAAATAACTCTGTACAAATAACACAGCGCCATCTAGTCCTAAGCTAAGCAGAGCTTGTGTTATGGGTACTAGACAACTGATATAAATACTTTTTTTTTGCAAATACATACATAATATACATAGAAAATACCCAGATCGATAAAACAATCACTTTAATGCTACCAATGAGGTCATCAGTCAACATTACTAACAATCCTTCTTTAACGCCACTACACATCCTATGTGGTTGTAGCCCACTCATGCATAATCGAAATATCTTCTTTGGAAAGTTTACTCTCTATCCTGAGGAGATACAAACCATCGCTCCTAAGAATGTCCTTCAACTCTTGTCCCTGGCGGGTCTAGGCAGTGAACTCTGAAAAAGGGCGAGCACAATAGATCTATGTATGTCGCCAAGCACCTGCCAATAGCCTAAACCCCCCCAATAAAAAAAAACAGCTTGGAAGAGCTTAGACCGCATCCCTCACATCAGGTGAGATTTCAGTCAAACGCGATGAAATCCAGAAAAAATCAGAATAGAAATGTACTCACGCGGTGGCAGACAGTAATAACAGAATATCCTGTGCTTCCTCCCTTCGTGGGACTCCAGGTGTTTCTTGTGTTGCTTCCGTCGCGTGGACACGTGTGGGCAGCATGGGCACGGTATCGCAAGATCGCGGGGCACACTGCCATGCCGTTCGGCCGCATGCGTTACGAGTGTTGATACTACGCGATAGCCCTGGTAACAAACATCAAATTAGCAATAGTAATTCTAAGTTCCATCAAACACTGTGCTAAGTCGTAGTTTTTTTTTCGATCTATTCTAATGCTGTTGGCCGCAGCTGGCCTTTACAGCTTCACTGGACGATAGGGACTTATGGAGCGGCTGAAGGCCAACTCCTGCCTGACAGATACGACTTTAGTCTGAGAGCACCGCTAGGGGTTCGAACCTCGGCTTAGGCCGTCGTAATTTCGATCACCGTTTGAATTAGACAAAGCATCGAACGGAGAGGCGACCTGTGACACCGTTTGGAGCGCCTGGTTGAATGCACTGGAGTTGTTGAGGTCGTCGTCTTCGCCGGCGAGGACGGTGTCGATTGAAGCGTGAAAAAGGCTTTGAAATTACGCGTACAAGGCTCATCACACCTTCATTGTCAAGACGAATTTTGAACGCCAGAGTAAACCGTTAGAGCAGGCTGGTGCCATACCATTATCAACCATAATAACACTGTTTTACGTACTATAATAATGCTGTTGGCCGTAAGTGGCCTTTATAGCTCCGAACTAAAATTAGGTCGAGCACAGATATAGGCACTCCATATTAAAAACTAATAAAGTACTAAATTAAAGAAAAATAGTTATGTAGTTAATTTAAATGCGGTCGAAGTGGGAGTGAGAGTATACCAGCGAAATCTCTCTAGAACCTTCTAAAAGATCTTAGTCTCTCTAGAACTGCAGTAAGTTCTATACTAGAACGTGTATCTAAAGCTGCACTAGCAGACTCTTGCCAGATTTGTCTGGGTAAGGAGAGAAACACGAGCGGTGGAGGTGAGTGTTGACGTGCGTTGGTGAGGAGCCCCTTAAACCTACACCCGGGTCACAACTCCCGGGAACTGCTCGGAGTTTCCTTCTCACACAATGGACTCGGCACCCGCACGATGAATACTTGGAATGCTAAAACGTTGCGTCTTTTTTTAAATATTAATATATATTACCTTAAAACAATGCTCGCACCGATATGGAAAGTTCTTCCATTTCGGATTCTTTTTTCTGCTAAACACCATCTTGTAGGGTTCAGCCGGAAACCAGTCCTCAGGGTCCAGGAGTAACTCCACGAGTTCAGTACCTGAATATAAAATAGATATAATATGCTGTTATTATATTATACATATAATTTTCTTTTATTAGTCATATCAGTCATAGAACGGTTGGTTACTGGAGTAGATGTGTTCTAGAGTGGGGACCGTGAAATTAAATGAATCATCATTAACTCAGACCGTCGTAATTTCGATCCCCGTTTGTATTGGACAAGGCGATCGGTAAGGCGACCGAGAACACCCGGTTGAATGCGCTGGAGGTGTTGTCGAGGTCGTCGTCTTCGCCGGCGAGGACGGTGTCGTGTGTATGGGACATATGAAATTAAACGTAGTGTAGGACGCCCTGGAGTAAGGTGAAGCGACGACATAGGATTGCGGGTAATAACTGGACGAGAAGGACAGAAGCTGGCAATAACTAATCTAGCTATCTAAGCTAAACGAGAAGGGATGAAAATAGGTCCCAGTTACGTGCCTTGGGAAAGGCCTATATCTACTGCTGGACATAGACCGTGCAGCGCCGCCAGTAGGCAGCGCGCTGATTTAAAAAAATAAAACGGCGGGAAAGCAACAGTGTGCATCATTGTTTTATGGTTGAGTTTATTTAAAATCAAGTGTGTGGAAAAACGTACGATATACGTGCGTATTTAACACACTCGGCACACATTTTTAACTGATGCTCCGCTTCTATTGGTCGTAGCGTAATGTTATATAGCTTAAGTTAAGCCTTCCTCAACAAATGGATTAGAATAGAATAGAATAGAAAATCATTTATTCAAATAAACTTAATTTAAGCACTTTTGAATAGTCATAACAATTTGTTTTTTATCTACCACTCGTTCGGAAAGCTGTCTCATCACAAGAAGAACGAGCAAGAAACTTGTGTGTTGCTCTTTTTATTTAACACAAAAAGATTATCTAACATTTAGATGAGATTATCTAACACAAAAAGAATTTTTCAATTCGAACCAGTAATTCCTGAGATTAGCGCGTTCAAACAAACAAACAAACTCTTCAGCTTTATAATATTAGTATAGAGTATATCTATTAACATGTAATCTTGTGGTATAATGCATTAAAAAAACTATATTACCTTCGGGAACTTCAATCTTTGGTACGACTGAAGGAGGCACGAAACTGGTGGTCGGTGGTACGGTGGTAAGAACTTTGGATGCCGCTAACAAACTAGTCAGAATTGTATTCTGTGCCTGAAAATTGAAAATAGATTTCTTTCTCATATAATTCTAGCAAACTGGTCAGATTCATGTTTTATGGCTGAAAATTAAAAAACGGTTTTAAGGTTTTTAAATTAATATTAAAGTTATGCTGAGCGATTTTTTTATTTTTTATTATGGATGATAATGGTACACCACTACACATCCTATGTAGTTGTAGTTTACACACTATCCTGAGGAGATAAAAACCATCGCTCCTAAGAATATCACTCAATTCTTGTCCCTGACGGGTCTAGGTAGCGAACTCTGAAAAAGGGCGAGCACAATAGATGTATGTAGGTCGCAGTGCTACAGGTCCAAGCACCTGACAATAGCCCAAACAATCAAATAAAAATATTATGTTCTTATTATATCGCTGACGGTATACGCTGGCGGAACAGTAAAGGATAATAGGATGAGCATGAGGTCAGGCAGCTGATCATGGCAAGTTCACTGGTAATTTAACATAATGGTTTCTAGGAGGAACTGAAGGTCAACTTAACCTCATGCTCATCTTATCATCCTCCACTGATGCATCATTCCATTATAGGAAAAAAACTCACCTGTAACAGAGCTCCGTTAGTTAAACTACATGATAAATCTACTTTCGGTTTCCTCTTATAACCCTTAGGCGGACCTCTCTTCTTCGCTATCTCTCCATTCTTCTTATATCTCACAACTTCTCCCGTCTCCACACTCTTTGTGGGCGTCTGTACGGGTGTAATCGTTAACTTAGATGGCAAGGAATACCTGCTGTGCAACGATTTAACTACATTATTTCCATTAATATTACTTGCAGTTAACGATAATGGATTAGCTAAATTTAAGGGGTTGTTAACGAATTTGGGTAATGTATTCGTTGTGGTTGGGAATATGGATAGAGAACTTGGTGTGTTGAACGCTGGTATTTGGTAGACTTTTAAGTTTAACGATGGACTTGTGAAGGGTTTCAGTCTTTTGGCTTGGGGCTCCTCATCGCTGGACTCCGATTGAGTGCTCGTACATAGAGGGTCCTTGTCTGAAAATGGCTCTGTGTGGGATTCACTCTCTTGTATGCAGAACATCTGGAAGTGATAAAAAACTGATTTAATTATAATAATAATAATAATACGTTGCAAATCCCCGCCTCTACAATAGACCTATTACAAAAAGCCGTCATTCTCAACACATGCCGCATTGTACGGAAATTCTGTCGTCTTCACTTTCATCATCCACATATAACTTTTAACCTCATCCACGCTTGGCTAAGGCCCGCGTGTTTGAATGTATTACCCCTGTAAAAAGGAAAATATATAATTCAAAATTCAAAATTTTGAATTATATATCTTCTTTTTTACAGATAAGATATATATAATATATGTATATAAAATAATAATAATAATATTTGTCATTGTTTGGTGATATTCACCCGCAATGACAAGTTTAACAATCCATCAAAGGGAGATATATAATATATATATAAAAAAATAATAATAACCTCAGGACAATTCACACAGCGCCACCTAGACCCAAGTTAAGCTAGCTAAAGCTTGTGTTATGGGTACTAGTTAACTGACTAGTGACAAGTTTGACTCCTCCTATTAAGTAATTGTGATTGTTTATATCAGTCTGTATGTTTTCTATGAATTTAATTATGTATTTACAAAAATACTGTATTTCAGTGTTTCTGTCATATTTTAATGGATGATAAGAAGAACATGAGGTCAGGTCAGTTAACACATCCTGACAAATTCACCAGGAATTTCTCACGACGGTTTCCAGCGGGAACCATGTGGAGTTCAACCTGATATGGTACATTGCTAACAATGGTGATGACCCCAATGTTAGCAATGGTGTTACCCATTGTACCATGTCAGGTTACTAACAATCCCCTTTCCCCTATTTCTGTCAGTTTTTTTTTATTTATAGATGATAATGGAATGGTGCACCCACCTGCGGTAACGGTTTACGCTGGCGGGGTACCAGTGGAGGATGATAACATGAGCATGAGGTCAGGTCAGTTAGCACATTGTGACAAATTCACCAGGAATTTAACATGATTGTTTGCAGGAAGAACCACATGGAGGTCAATCTGACATGGTACATTGCTAACAATGGGGTCATCAGTCCATGTTACTAATAGTCCCCTTTCCCGCGTTTCTGTCACTTGTCTATTCCATAACACAAGCTCTGGTTAGTATGGGACTTGATAACAATTGTGAAGGGTAATTATTATTACCTAAGGAAGGGGAAAGCATAGAATGAAAGAGTAAATTAAAATTATATGTAGATATGTTATAGTTTCAAAAACCCAGAAAAATTAAATATATAAAAGAATAATATAGTAATATTAATCAATATAAAGATATAAAAATTAAACTTATTACTTTCTTTATATTATTATATTATGTTGCATATAGCAACACACTACACAAATACCATAAATATAATAATCAGAAATATTTAATAGGTGTGCATAAAACATAAAAATCATATATTACACACTCAGTAATAAATTGCATTAATACATAAATTACAAATTTTGAAAATTATACATTAAAGCAAAACCTTAAAGTTTATTTTCCAAAGTCCATAATTTTTAAGTAATTAAACACTATTATTAAGATGTGATATAAATGATTAACATTCGAACTGGCCAGATATAATTTGAATAATGAATTAAAAAGTACTCGCCGGCTGTACCGACAGATTTATAAAAAATAAACAATACATACGATTCGATATTTAAATTTTCTAACCGATGTTAATACACAACAAAAGCACTTCCTTAGAATAATATAAAAACACGAGTGTACCACAAAATGGCGTGTTAATTTATAAAAGTACGAAACAATAAAACGGATCTCATAGAATAACTGCACATGCCACTAAAAGTTCCGCGTAACTACAATTTGATCTAATTACAGCGGAATGCTCAATTATAACTGAATATCTCACCTTAAACACACTTAATGTACAAATATAGAAGTAAAACACTCAATAATCACAAAATAATACTGTTTCGCGGATGATTTTAATCTATGAACATTAAAATATGATAGAAAACGTAGAATAAAAGGTTATACTTTGTTAATAATAACAAGTTTTCAGTCGACAGTACTCGACATTCGTCCGTTCAACGCGGCGGCCCGTTATTGTCATGCAAGAATAGCGACCTTATCATGTTAATAAAATATACAAATTTTAGACCTTATTAAATAAGAGAGAAAGTTCAATTTACTATTGCAGATAATCAATCTTTAGGTGAGTACAGGGTAGCGTATTGTACTTAAGAGCATAGTACACGCAAGAGAAGCGTCACCTTTTTGACGTTTAATTTGAGTGTTACAAGCATAAATTTCAACTTTAACATTTTAGTATACTGCAGAATAAAATTAACAAAAACAACATATACTCGTTTACTCCTCGTTTAATAAAATCGATATCTTTTTATTATTGTCATCCTTAGTATATTTGTAGTACACATTTGTTATAGATTTTAATCGTAACAAAATCTATTCCCAAATTATAGGGAAATATGAGGCGGGAACTGGGTTACCAACCTTATTTTTTTTGTTTTTACAAAGAAGATTTATAGTACTAGTCGTTTGATACAACAAATTGATTAGATAGTACGTATTGGCTATTGAAAGCCATACAATTGTGAATGTGTAAAGAAATTTAAATTGATAAAGAAACTTCTTATATTTGGACGAATAGAGAACATTTTTGATTACTCTATGATAATGATAACCGTTACGATACGAGAGAATTAATTTATACTTGTCCCAAATCTAATAATAAAAAAAGAAGAATAAACGGTAACTATTAATTATTTTATATCATTATATTTACTAGGCTGTTAAGACTTTATAATTTGAATATAAAATCAATCACAAGTGATTTTCTATTCTATTCTATTATATGGTTTTTCTTATATTTATAGTCTTTCGTTTGCCTTTACAGTAACTAAAAACTAAATGTTTTTGGCGCCTAAAATCTGATACATATTTTTTTAAATAAGATTACATGATACAGAGATTAAGAACTACTTCTACTGTGGTGAATTTATATTACAGTAGTAATTTTAGTTAATTATATTAAAATTGTAAAATTTATTTAAGAGTATAAAGTGAAGAACTGATTACATTTTAGTGTTTTATTTTCAGTTACAGCCACAAACTTTTTTTTTTCGGACTACTCTAATGCTGTTGGCTGCAGCTGGCCTTTACAGCTTCGCCGGACGTTAGGGGCGAGTGCAGATGGCACTCCAAACCCGCGGAAGGACTTATGGAGCGGCTGAAGGCCAACTCCTGCCTGACGGATACGACTTTAGCCTGAGGGCACCACTAGGGGTTCGAACCTCGGCTCAGGCCGTCTAATTTCGATCCCCGTTTGAATTGGACGGGGGATCGATCGGAGGGAAGCCACAAACTACACCAGCAATTAATCACGATGGTTACCAGGATTTAACCTGACTTGGTACATTACTATTAATGAGGTTATGAATCCAAATTACTATCAATCCCTTTTCCCTTTCGCATAGATTTATTTTTAATAAGATATTGAAATGGTGCACCCGCCTTCGCTAATGGTTTACGCTGGCGGGGCACCAGTGGAGGATAAGAGCGATATATGAGTTCAGATCAGTTAGCCCACCGTGATAAATTGACCTGGAATTTATCACGAAGGTTTCCAGGGGGAACTGTTTGGACGTTAACCTGACATGGTCCATTGCTGGCAATAGGGTCAAGAGACCACATACTAACAATACCATTCCCCCCTCGCATAGATGTATATGGATGCATTATGGAATGGAAAGAATGACAGTACCTTATATATTTATTTACAGATAGTAAAAAGTAAGTATTTGGAACAACAATAATAAAAAAATACAAAATAGTTCGATAACCATTTTATTAGAAAACTTAATCTAAACCTTCAACATCGTTTACAAAGAATGCGTATTTTTATTTCAAAATAATCATAAAAAAGAAATAAATTACTAACGACTAGATGACAACGCTGTACATGGACCAAGCTTGAAAAAAAAAAACAAAATGGAGAACAAAAATAATATTATCACAAAACTTGGTCTATGATTTGTTGATACATATTCGAAAACTTAGAATAAATAAATAATGAGAAACTTACATTGCTTAGAACAACATAATTTGTATGAAATGTTTATTTGGCGCGAAATATTGGCAAGCGATTGTGTAGGATATATTTTGAAGGTTATGTTTGGATATGTTTTGAGTTTCACAACAGAATTTGTACCCAAGCCATCTCCGTTTATACAAAAGTTAAAGCTATACAAAATCTAAGAAGATATTTCATACATATGACAAGAAGTGCAATGTACATATATAATAGGAGTAGTTTCCGGAACAACGAGACAGTGGCCAGTTATGAATATTAAAAAAGCAAGAGTTTTCAAAGAAAAATGGGGCCCAAAGATGGTCACATATATATCAATAATAAATTGCATTAACTAAAAAAGATAATTATTGGAAAATAGTCTTTAAATATTTGGTCTTAAAAACGACTTTCCATTTTTAGTAATAATGTAATTATGGAAAATCAACTTTAATATCAAAATATTAGAGTAAATTTTTCGAAATGCTTTATGCAGTTTATAAAAGCACGTTCAACATTTGTTTCTAATTATATGTTTTTTAATTTTGGAATGTCGTCTTTAGAAACAATAATTTTAAGTTGTTATTTTAAAAAAACATTTTTCAGTTAATACAAAATATTAAAGTGTATATATATGTATATATATTGTTTCGAATATATATCAACATATCACTATTATTAATATATTTACAATTTTAATATAAACCTATTTAGATTTGGCTTGTGAAACATTTGTGGTGTTTTTTTACTGGACACATTATTTTGGTATTCATGTTTACTTGTAAGAAAGAGCTAGCTATTCTCCCTCTCATTCACAATCATTCTTATTCACTCGCACACATAGCTACATCTCTTTCTTGTAACAATTAACACAGATTAATTAAGGCGAGATTCCATATCTATGTATAATAAATTAAAAAAACTTAGAAATTGAGTTTTATGTTGAATTACAAAAATAGTTATTGTTATTTAAATACGGTTCAAATTACAGTGTCAGCTGTAAACGGTACATTAAGGCATTAATAGTAATTATGACTGAACATTATTTCTAAAGAAATAGAGTGGAAAATTGAATATAATTTTTATAACCTCATTCTCATTTTTCCACTTTGTTTCTCGGTGAATGTGATTCAATCATGAGTATTATAACCTAACTTTTAATGTACCCTTTACATATCACCCTGTATTAGATTATAAGAAAAGCAGTGAGAGAGACAGCAATAAACAGTCACTTTTCTCTCTCAGTATCATATACCGTACCATAAATAAATATCATTGTAAAACAAACTTATAAACTATGTTGGTGAGATACTATGTCTGTCTCACTCTAACGTATGTCATTGTATATTCTTCTCTATCTTGCCAATTTGCTGTACATCTTCAACAGGATTATGCATCCCTGGTAGCCTTGATGTAATAAATATGATATGACTGAAATTCTGTGTAACAAAATGGTTCTTTCTTAATAAAGATATAAAAAAATTCCCAATTTCAAGGGAAATATTTAATATTTGATGAGTCATATCAGATTTATTGCTTTATTTTTTAATTTCGACAAGACACTGTATACGTGATCAGTTTTGTTAACATAATTACAATAAATTATTACGAAATAATATACAAGAAAACTGGCTTGAATGTTTGGTATAAATGTGTTGTATGGTAAGAGGAATTATTAAATAATTCACAAAGTTACACAAAACAAGTTCTAAAACATAAATCACTATATATTAAAAGTATTTAAGAAAAGGTAAAAAAGTTACGACCTTATTGATATGTGATGTATCTATACAGAAATAAATCGGCGAAAAACAAACGAGAAATCATTTTAAAGAAAGGAAATTCTTATTGTATTCGTATTATTTAAAATTAAAACTATAAAACATTATGGATTGCAAAAAGGGGAAGGAAAATCAGTCAGTATAAAGTATTATTAATAACAAAGACGAATTACATATTTGTATTAAAATTAAAGTCACAATGTTTTCCACAGATTATCAACTTATCATTAATCTGTATTACATTATCATTCAAATGTACTTTTAATCGAACTAAACAGAAATATTTATAGCATTGTGATACAGATCGTGGTATTGTCAATGTAAAATTATTGAGCAATATAGGAATGATTATTACAGTCATGAAACGCCAATTTAATTTTAATATCTCAATATTTCTATTGTCAAAATCTCTATATGATATCTCCTCCTTACGACGAAACTTCGAAACAACTGGCAACCTATAAACGCTCATCTTTTTTTATTAAAAAAAGAAACAATTACTGCGCAAATATTATCTGTCGCGCATTCCACGTTTAATTATTGCCGCCAATTCTTTTATTTTTTTTATTGTCTCGTCTAATGGCGATTCGTGAATATTTAGCGCTGGTTTTAGCATAGTAGCTTATTATCTACCAACTCTTTTCGGCTAAATTCCTGATCGTTTGTTTGAGAAAATAACATATAGACATTTTGTAGGAACTCCTGCTTAAATCTAACAGAGCGATAGCTGTATGCGTTAGGCAGCGTCGGTGTTGGTAACATTAACAAGTGCAGAAAAACCATCTACTACATTAAACATATGAAGTCCTGGTAGTAAATCGCTATGTACCATCTAGATATAGATAAATTATCTATGGTATTAAACATAGTACATGATTTGTCATTATATGATGTACTAAGCAGAATAAACTTGCCAAAGAAGTAAATAAAAGAAGAAAAAAAATCATACATAAAAAAAAAATTATGTGCATACATTTAGACACTATTATATGATTAAACATTAAAAAAATATTACATATGAATGTGGATGATTATAAGGGCAGAGGAAGGCCGAAAAAGAGATGGATGGACTGTGTGAAAGATGGTATGGCTAGAAAGGGAGTGAATAACGAGATGACTGCGAACAGGGATGAATGGAATAGAAAATATTATGCCGACCACAAATGAATGTGATGATGGTGAAGATGATGATGATGATGATGATGATGATGATGATTTGTTTGATGATTATTATTAACAATAACTTCTATTTATGAACATAACACCTACCGCTCCGATAGCAAAACCTTACTGGTAACATTATTATAAAAATTACATTATGATATGCTTGTAAATTAATTATTAAATGCATTACATCTATCACGTACTCATGGACGTAGGTAAATATAGTCTGTAGTAGAAAATTACTTTTATTTGACAACCATTTTGACATTTTAAATGCGGTATGACCTTGTTTATTATACAGAGAAAAATATGACATATTAAGTATAGGCGATTCAAATTATTTGAAAATCGAAAGTATAATACATACTCAGTATGTCTTTAAGAAATAACACTTTCGAACTACTCTGCTGTTGGCCGCAACTGCCCTTTACAGCTTCACCGGACGACAGGGAGCGAGTGCAGATGGTACTCCAAACCAAAGTAGGGACTTATTGAGCCGTTAAAGGCATTCAAACATTTTTAATGCATCCATACGAAGTCGGGATAACATATATGTCAATTTTCTCCGAACGATAAAAAAAAGTCATCCAGTACTTTCCATAAATTATGTCAACCGGCGTTTATGAAGATAAGAGCGTCCGTTGCCAAAGTCCTAAATAATATATATGCAATGGAAAACAATAGTCAATAATATTTTTTTTTATTATTCGTTTGAGTCTAAGAAAACATTTTGTAATTGTCCAAATTATTCGATAATGTCATTATAAAAAAATACATATGTGTTATTATAAATTCCATTTTTTTTATCTATTATTGGAAACATTGATGTATATTGATCCATGAATGTTTTGTCCTATAACAGTTCGAAACGATTTAACATATAATTATAAAATTTAAATTACGATATTATTACTGTAGATTGGTTTAACGCGCCAATTTGTCATTTCCGTCAGTCATAGGCAGTGTTGCCATTATTAAATTCGAAATTTAAATTTTCAACATGAGGCCTATTTTATATTAATAACTGTGCTTATTTAAAATTAATGTTCGAAATAGTTTTACGTTTTTTTAAGATTAAGTTCTTGAGTAATTATTGCTTTGGTGTTGGTAGCACAATGATCTGTTTAAAAAAATATTAGCTGTTTAGCTTAGATTCAGATACAGGTTAATTTACAAGTATATATATACTTTAATGGTATAATTTAAAATATTAGATCTGGCAACACTGATCTGGCAAAACATTTAACATTCGGAGTTTTGGTCAATTCACTCATCATTTCCTGAGCGTCTCATGTAGAAGTAAAAAAAACATTTAACATTCGGAGTTTCGAATTAAGTGCAAATTGATTAATTTTTTCTGAGATTCCGTGCTTTTTAATAACATTTCAAATTATAACCTAAAATAATTGTCAATTTTTATATTATTCCAAAATCAAATTTTTCTAACAAGCGAACCTAAAAACACCTAGATATATTGATTTATATATTATTTATGATATTTCCACTAATATGTACTTAACTTATATTAACTAAATCAAAAATATACACTAGTGCATTGAATATCAGTATACCTATTACTAAAACATACATGTTGGAACGTCATTAAAATATTGCTAACTTTTTTTATATTTGGCAATATCCAATAACAAAATGGCCGCCGTATTAAATTTTTCTGTCATAGAGCAAAGCAAAGATATTAATCCATACAGTCATATTAACAGATCCTTTAATGGCAACGCAATATTTCCCTAGCGTTCCGAATTCAAAATGGCGCCAATTTTATGTGAGTACAATAGAACGCTGAATGACAAATAGATTTTGTAAACATTATGAACAATAAAAATTATGACATATGTTTTATACGCGACTAAAATATTGCTATCTCTTTCGTGTACACATTAGGAGCAATATTTCTGACTCGCTCATAAAATCTATTTGCATCATAGTCCATTAATCTGTCATCAACAATAGCGCCAACTTATAAATAAAAACCTACATACAACCATAAACAATCCTTTCATACTAGATGCACGTACGTGAAATTGGCGCCAAAAGAACAGCACAGATAATATAATACATAACCTCAAATATTTGGCATAACAGACGGTTAACACATCAGGACTTGTATGTGCGTATTACGTCTTTAATCTGTGCGCGGCAGAGGGGGCATTGACCTCCCCCCTTCCCCCTCCACTGCTGAACGGCACATCTATAGCACATGCACATGTGTCCACACATATATAGGACGCTATCTATCGGATTCTCATAGCAAATAGTGCATTCGGTACCTGTCAAATTCCCTTCACCGATAACAGAGTATATATTATGCGCTCTGCTGGTGGAAGGCCCATTTTGGAGTCTATCAGCAAGTCTTAGAGGTTCCGTGTGACCGTTGGGTATTTGGACCTGTTCGTTGCAGTTGTTTTGGCTGGTCGATGAACACTGAGCGTCCGTTCTTGGCCGTTGGAACTGCTGCTGTATAGGGGCTATTGGGGGACTTGATATCGGCTGGAGGCCAGCCAGGCAGAGCTGAGATGATGCCTGAATTGGCTGCAAAGAAAAGAAAAGACATTATACATTTGTTTTTAAAGGATTTTATATTTATTTATTAATACATTAATGTAAGAAAATACAAAAATAAATGTGCATATGGCGGACTTAACAACTCAAGGTATTTTCTCCCAATCAACCATAGAGCAAACAGATATTGTCTCTGATAATAAATTATTCATTTACAGACTGCCCTTTTTGGTTCTGCACATTCTTTCTATAATTCAAGTTTTTAATTTGTTTTACTAAAAATCTTCTCATTTTGTAGAATGGTTTTCTCGAGAGACTATAGCATCGGTTTATACATGGGTTCGCTTTGCTTGGGACTAGATGGCGATGTGTGAGGTGTCTTCGGGACTATTATTGTTAAAAAATAAAATTCATATTATTATTATTTATATTATTATTATTATTAAAGTTAATAAATTATGAAGTCACTTACCTCAATATAATGAGCGCTGGCTAGCGTCAATCCTTGCTGATTGGCGGCGTTCTGAGCACCGTTCTGCGGCGGTAGACTCACGACAAGCACCGTCCCTCCAGCTCCTGTTGTTATCGGGGCTGCAGACCCGGTCAAAACCCTCAACTGCTGCGGTGGCGTCTGCGCCGGCTGAGCTACTTGAGAGCTCAGCATTCTAACCTTTTGTGTCGCTCCATATATATCCACAAACGCCCATAACCTCAAAGTGTGATCCACGTGCATAACCGTAACGGGTGAGGACCCATTTCTGCTCACACGGACTTCACCGTCTAAAGTTAGAGTGACGGCCAACTCGTCGCCTCTTCTAAGACCGTTTGCCGCGTCTCTCCTAACTACCCAATACTCAGGACGGTCCAGTAACAACTCCGCATCGTCAGGTAAATCGCAAGGTCTCAGAGTCGCTGGGTCACAAGATGTTAGACCTATCGACAGACTTCCAGCGTATGCCGATTCCGTTGCTAGTATTTGGACGACGATCGTTTGTCCGGGTCCCATCGGGCGAGCAGTGAACACGTAACCTTGACAGAACTCAGCTTCAGTTCTCGCTGCTACACCTCTATCGTTTATGAACTGGACGTTTCTTCCTTTTGTTCTGTGTAGACTTAGAGGTACGAGGGGATTCGAATACCTCGGTGGTGGCAGCGCCTCCTCGATGCTTAACGACCTCATGTTTCCGACTAATCGGTCTTCTTCTATCGGACTTTGATTAGGTCTTCTAATTTGGTTCGGCACTCGGGGATCAGCGAATTGGACTGCCATGCAGTTTCCGTATACATCTACCAAAGCCCATAGTGGGTTTCTTGTGTCGACCCCTGAGAAAAACAGCCCTTTGTCCTCCCCGTTGATCCCGAAATGGACATCTCCGGCGGAATTGACGTAGTAATACAAAATGTTGTCTTTTTCGCAAAATCTTTCGCCTAGAGCTTTAGCCCAGTTTCCTGGTTTGTTGGTGAGGTCTGGGCAGGCGTATTTGGGGAGCGCGTGGGCTAATGTGGCTGGATCGTGGGTGGTGAACCCGAAACGTATGACTCCACTCCAGCTGTTGGAGATCCCCACAAATCGGATGCACACCTGGAATAGCCAAAGAATTTGTGATTAGTAAAAAGTTCTACGAGTATATCTTTTCAATTTAATGGGACTAACAAACAATCTGATGATCCTCTTGACGAAAACTAACCGCCTATATATATGAACATAGTCTTGATGCGTTGCCTTTTCTGAGATCTAAGTTGTCTCCTTACTCTATTAATACTCATCCCTCCACCATCAAGGAAGTGGGCCATAAAAGCCAGCTGTATTCGGCAGAATTAAACGAAATAGAAGAAGAAGATCTTAGACTATCTGGGCCAGATCAAATACATGAATACAAATGTTTGTATTAGAGAAACGCGCTAGTCGATGTAAAGATTGGAATGCTACGTTTACATTCAGCCGCTTATACGGTAAATACGGTACATACACCAAACTGACATTTTTTACAATTTTTGTCTTTCTGTCTGTCATTTGTTCCGGCTAATCTCTGAAATGGCTGAACCGATTCTGTATGATAAGGTATTCTTATGTAATATGGAGTAACTTAGGCTACTTTTATTTTAGAAATAGAAATATAAAGTTAATTTCCACTCGGACGAAGTCGCAGGAACAGCTAGTAATGATATAAAAATAATGATATTTCAGGACACAGCGCCATCAAGTCCCAAGCAAAGTAGAGCTTGTGTTATGGGAATAGAATAGAATAGAAAATCATTTATTCGAATAAACTTAATTTAAGCACTTTTGAATAGTCATAACAATTTGTTTTCTATCGACCACTCGTTGGGAAAGCTGTCTCATCACAAGAAGAACGAAACTTGTGTGTTGCTCTTTTAAATAATCCTTGTAAGTTTGTTTTTTTAATCATTTGGGAACTAAACAAGAGATATAAATACATTTTTTTGTAAATCATAACATAGTATAAAATAAAGTCGCTGTCGCTGTCTGTCCCTATGTATGCTTAAATCTTTAAAACTACGCAACGGATTTTGAAGCCGTTTTTTTTAATAGTTAGAGTGATTCAAGAGGGAGGTTTATATATATAATACATACATACATAATACACCCGTGCGCAGCCGAGGCGAATAGCTAGTATATATATAATAATACATAGAAAACACCCAGATCGTTATAAACAATCATACTCATGAATACAAATGTTTGTACCGTGCGAGGAATCGAACCGGCGACAATCGGAAGTAGAGCGGTGTGCTAAACCGGTAGACCACTGAAGGCGTCGATAATGACTGGCATGGAAAACAGGAAAGTAAAAAATCTAAATAATATAATCATTACTCATGTAGAAACCTTTTTTTTAAGAGTTTTTGTGAACCCAAAATAATGTTTACAACGCTACGTTTACATTCAGCCGCTTCCCCTGCCACTCGCGCTGCCGGAAGTATTGCCGGGCGACAACTGAGCGAGAGGGCTGAATGTAAAAACACGTTGCCACTCGCGCTGCCGGTCCTTTAACTTGCGCACGAAAAAACCAACAATCGAGGGAGCGCCGGGCAGCGCGAGTGGCAGCGCCAATGGCATGGGAAGTGTTTCCACTCGTGTTTACACTCTCGCGCTGCTCACTTCCCTGTCCACTCGGGCTGAGTGTAAATTGGGCATAAAATTCGTAAACCGTTACCATGTAACAGTTACTTATCTTTTTCTTGAAATTACAAACCTCTATAGTTTGTACCATGCGAGGAATCAAACCCGCAATCATCGGAAATAAGGCGGTATGCTAAACACCACAGAGGCCGTCAAGTTATAAAAGCATATAGTGCAGGTCTCACCTTTTCATTGACTCTAACCGGCCGGGCACTGAACGCGACACCCTTGCAGAAACTCTCCACGCGTCTCGCTATCGAACCATCGCGAGATACCCTGATGTTTTCACCGTGGACGCTGTGGAAGCCGAGGGGCGGCAGATTGTTGGGTGTCCCTCCAGTACAGGAAGTGCGGGGCGCTGAAACAAAATAAATACACCACTTAATAAAATTGGCAGATGCTAATAGAAATAGAAATTTTTGTTTCTTTAATAGCCCATAAAAAAGTCCACGACTACATATATCTAATTTTTAAGGTCAACTTCCTTTAACATTTATTCATGGTAATAAAATTTCTTCTAAAGAGTGCATTATTTGTGAAAGTGTCTTTATAAACATGATATTAATCCTTATATAATATATATACGTTAACAAGCCGGGGCGCGTTGCTAGTATAATATACACGTGTCAGTTTGTATATACATATACCTACTAGCTGACTCCGCGATCACGATGGGCTAACTGACTTCATGCTCATCTTATCATCCTCCACTGGTGCCCCGCCAGCGTAAACCGTTAGCGCAGGCGGGTGCACCATTACATTGCACCCATCTTCCATAAAAAAAAAGCTGAAGTTACGCAATAATTTTTTCCTGTTTGACAGGTATCAGCCGGTTGTTTGGGAAAATAAAATTGTTGTATTTACTAATTTACATTCAATTTCTAAATATTTTATCACCGTTTAAACCTCCCTGGACTTCCACGAATATTTTAAAACTAAAATTAGGTAAATAGGTTCAGGCGTTCTGGAGTTTTAACGAGACTAACGAACAGTAATTCCTTTATATATATGTGTAGATCTGTACATTACGACTTCTGATTTCAGAGACTACCCCTTAAATCCATAGACAGCGCAAAATCTTTACTATTCCATTACCAGATTATTAGTTATGTATTTATGTATAGTATGTTTTATATGTATTTATGTATATTTGTGGGATATATGATATATTTGTGTATCATCATCATTATCATCATCGCAGCCCGGAAGACGTCCACTGCTGGACATAGGCCTTCCCAAAGATCTCCACAACGATCGGTCCTGCGCTGCTCGCATCCAATGCCTTCCAGCGATCTTGACCAGATCGTCGGTCCACCTTGCTGGAGGCCTTCCCACGCTGCGTCTTCCGGTCCGTGGTCGCCACTCGAGGACTTTACTGCCCCAACGGCCATCTGTCCTACGAGCTGTGCCCTGCCCATTGCCACTTCAGAGTCGCAATTCTTCGGGCTATGTCGGTCACTCTGGTTCTTCTGCGGATCTCCTCATTTCTGATTCGATCACGCAGAGTAACTCCGAGCATAACCCTCTCCATTGCCCTCTGAGTGACTCTGAGCTTGTTGATGGAGCCCATAGTTAGCGACCACGTCTATTTATGTATATTTATTAATTATTTGTACCACCAACAATTTATCTCTGCACAACTCATGGTTGCCTGGTACAAAATACCACTAGATGTCAAGTCCGCCATTTAATTATGTACTTTTTATTTATATAACGTGCATTAAAGTTATTTAAATAAAATAAATATAAATCCCCGTCCAATTCAAATAGGGATCGAAATTACGACAGCCTGAGCCGAGGTTCGAACCCCTACCCGTGCCCTCAGACTACAGTCGTATCTGCCAGGCGAGAGTTGGCCTTCAGCCGCTCCATAAGTCCTTCCTTAGGTTTGGAGTGCCATCTGCCTTCGCCCCCCATCGTCCGGTGAAGCTGTAAATACCAGCTGCGGCCAACAGCATTAGAGTAGTCCGAAAAAAAATTACCATGAATTACGTTTCCACAGAATACACACGAATCTAAAATTAAACTGTAGTACAGTACTGTTACCCTCAAATCACCCCAAGACAGCGGGCCATTGTAGCTCCCCTACGATAAAACCCACCTGCGTGACAGATGCGCTGCCAGCTTGCGCGTGCGCAGCATTCAAATATAAACCTTACTACAACAGCCATAAGACTGTTTAATTTGAAATTTTTATTCGCAATGAAGTACGTACCGCTGCCAGCTTGCGCGTGCGCAGCAGTCAAACATAAACCTTACCACTATAGTCATAAGACTTTTAATAACTCATAAATTAATTAAAAAAATATCTTCACAATGAAATACATACTTTATTTACGTACAGATAAGATTGACAATATTTGACAAAAAATGCAATAACAGTTTTCCTTGTTGATGTAATTATCACTAATAGTATCCGGGCGACCGAGCTTCGCTATTCGACGTTTAAATTAAAGTCGCCGATGTATATGATACATTTTTTATTTGAATCTAGCTGTGCCTTATGTTTCTGTCGTGTGAATTTTATAGCCTATATGTTATTCTGTTGTATAAGCTATATTACTGTAAAGTTTCATCACAATCCGTTCAGTAGGTTTTCCGTGAGTAACAAATTTTCGCGTTTATAATATTAATATATAGAGATAGATAGCTGTATTTGTTCATGAACATTTATCATATTTTAATTTTAAATGTAATGACAGATTAAAAAGCCAACTGGCCCTACCAGAACCTAAAATAGAAATATTTAGGGCGAGTCCGTATTACCGATCCATTGTAATATATAATAAAATCCCGGAAACCATAAAACAAGAGGATAAAATTAATTTATTTAAAAAAAAGGCTTAAAGAACTACTGACCGACAAAGCTTACTATACAGTAAAATAATTTTCACCAGACGTACTATAGAAGCTAACTGGACACTACAACAGATCTAAATTTTAAATTTCATGATGGGAATGAGTCATCTACGAAAGTGCCATACTCTTTAAACAGTGTCCATGTGTATAGTTAATTTATCATATGTAAATTTATGTATACGCATGTGCAATTATAAATAAATAAATAATAAGTCACATCAGAATAACATCTATATTGCACCCATCTATACAGGGGAAACTGCGGGCGCAGCTAGTCAATAATAATTTAAGAAATCTCTCGTTACGCTTCTTCCCTACTTCCTGACTATTCAAAGCGTTCAAACACCATCGGAAGTGGGCGCACGTGTGCATACAACCCGTGGGGTGTTCCCCATGAGCGGTGAACGGTGACAATGCTAGTGTTGTTTAAATTTTAGAAAAAACATACTAGTATTATATACGCGAATATTTGTAAGTATCTATGAATGTTTAAGAAAGAAGAAAGAAAGAAAGAAAGAAAGAAAGAAAGAAAGAAAGAAAATTGTTTATTTGGTACACTGAAAAAAAATTTTTAAAATTTAATTTACATGTTATATTAATAATTAGAGTACCAACTAGGTCTCCGCTCAGCATATGTCGTGACGGGGTGCCACGACGCTGGTTTTCAGCGGACAATGTTACTTTTTCACGCAAGAACTACTGAACGGATTTTGATTAAGCTTTCTAATAATATAGCTTAAACATTACAATGACATATAGGCCATAGGTGAAATTTCAAACGGGTAAAATCGCAGGCACAGCTAGTAAATTTTATATACTTTTTAACAATAAGTAAGACCCGGCCACGCGTTACTGAATACTACGCTAAGGTTCTTGAATAAAATAATATTGCGACTATAAATTGAGATGTAAGCTATCCTATCTTTCAAGTTGGATCAAATTGCACACAATGTGCAAATCAAATTTGCAGTCAGTTCAGTAGTTTAGGAGTCCATCGCGGACAAACAACGTGATACGTAATCATTACATAGTATAAAACAAAGTCGTTGACGCTGTCTATCCGTCCTTATGTTTGCTTAAATCTTTAAAACTACGCAACGGATTTTTTAAATAGATAGAGTGATTCAAGAGGAACTTTTGTATGTATAATTGGTGCCCCGCCAGCGTAAACCGTCAGCGCTGGCGGGTGCACCATTCCATTATCATCCACAAAAAAAAAAAAAATACATGACACCCGGGCGAAGTCGGGCGAGTAGCTAGTTTTTCTATATAAAGATTTAATTGCTGTTAAAAACTAGTCTAAAAATACGAGATCACGTTCAGACAATGATGCGGGCGGAGTCAGGTTCAAACGTGACAATAGGGGCACAAGCCAGGTGGTTTGTTGTTGAAAAAAAAATTACGAGGGTGGCCGCCATTTTGGTTCCGAGGGGTCCAACATCCGGCGGAAGCTGTTCAGCTTTTCTCTTAATCGTTAGTTTTAAAATCGGAAGTTAGCTATCAATTTAATATTGGTTAATGTTTTTTTTATTTTTTCTATTATTATAAATATACCTATTCTAGTGTAGGATAATAATAATAATAATCCAGAACATTTCGCACAGCGCCATCTAGTACCAAGCTAAGCAGAGCTGTGTTATGGGTACTAGACAACTGATATAAATACTTAGATATTGTTAAGGATGGAGACCAAGATGACGAGCAAAACAAAACGGCACCGATATAGTCGTAACAAAATTGTGTAATAATGAAACAATATAATATTATAAAGAATATATAGACAATAAAAAAGGTTTATAAAACAATTTCCAACAGATATTTTTTAAAAAAAATACATGTTACATAGAGAACACACATCCAGACCGATGGGAACAATCAGACTCATTAATACATATACACCGTGCGGGGAACAGAACGTGCGACCATCGCTTTTGTCACACAACCAGATTGTGGAATCACCTTCCAACAATGGTATTTCCGAGCCGATACGATATTGTAACCTTCAATGAGTTTCTACAAAGGCCGACAACGCATTTGCAATCCCGAACCTATACGTTATGGTAACCTTCAAAGAGCTTATTCCTTCTTAAAAGGCCGACAACGCACTTGCAATCCACCTGGAGTTGCGGGTGATCATAGGCAATAATCACTTACCATCAGATGAGCCACAAACTCGTTTGTACCGTACCCTTGATATCGTTCAAAAAGCTAACTGATTCTGGTCGAAAATATTATACGATCCAAATTTATCGGACACGTGTCCCGTATTAGTTTAGTTGCAGAAATAACTCCGCTAAACCATGGAACTAATGTACTGCAATTTGTTACGCACCCCTCCGGCTACGTTACTTAATTGTGCATCCCTTATTTTGGGGGAGAACATTTATTTTCGTAAATACGGGCATCTGTTCAATTGTCATTAAACCAAATCTTAAACCTTACAAATATTGCAAATACGAAAGTAACTCTGTCTGTCGGTGTGTCTCGCTTACACGCCAA